AATCGAGTCTCGACCTGACTATCCAGTTATAACATCACGAGCATTGATCTACGTAAAAGGGATACGATGACATGTGTCAACCAAGTCAGCGAGGGTGGCCAACGACACCGTTAGCGCCGCTGGTCAACAAGCATGGGTTACTAAAGACACAACTGCATTGTTTGTTTGTTGTTTAACGCCGGACATAGCAGTATTGAAGCTACATGACGGCGATCTGTTAATAGCGGACCAGACAATGACTGACTACTAAACGATGCATGCATCAATCAAGCCAGCGGATCTTTTTGGTCGTCAATGTACGAGTTGCCGAACATTAGTTCCACACTTTGAAGTTGCACACTGATGGCGTCACTGGAATATAATTACGCGCTCGTCTTCCGTCTGATTTCGGTAAGTAAGACGTGTTCCAGATCAAGCCTTTAATCTTTGAAGATATTTCACAATGTACTTCACCGTGATCGCCGGCTTCTTGAACAGCCTCCTGAACCTCTACCACACTACGTACTGTCGCTAGCGGTTCATACGGTAGCTGGAACGCAGACAGCTCGACGTCAGTATAGCGTAGCGTCACCACGGCAACTCGTGATTGGTTAGAATGTATACTACACCCTCAGTGGGATTACCCCTTATAAGAAAACAAACTATAGCTTGATCTGGCCAGCATGTTTCATGACACACACACACGTTTTGAACGTGTAATATGCTCGGTCAAGGGTGTTTGTCTCAAGTGAATGTAAAGCCATGGAAGCCGTGAGCAAGGAAGATTATAATCCCTGAAGATTTTGGTGAAATTTATTTTAATATGCTGGCACCAACTGTAGAGTGTTGGCATGTACAAACTTAAACACTATCTGCAAGATCTGGTTGAAGACCTTGACAGGGCGGGTTCTCCTACATGGGGTTAATGCATATTGGAGACGTCCGAAAACGGGGAACACTACCAGATGCATTGCTCTGGCCATGACGTAACGTAAGGGCAGAGTGCAGCTGACGTTTACCACGTTTCTTTAGCTATACCTTTGATACCAAGCGTCAGGTGTGGCTTCATGAAACACGCTTGTTTGGATGTTTCTCCATCTGGAAAATTGTAACAAATTTTACTCTCAAATGGCACTGACGTCACATGCTTTAACCTATTAATATTGGTTCAATGATATCAAATTCTAACTTGTTGATTTACTGGGTTATGTATTGGACGAATATTTCGTGTACTTACTCAATGTACAATGTATACGTGCATCAAAATAACAGGTACGATGTGTGTCGTAAAACCATACTCACTCACTCACTCAAACTAAGAGTACATGTGCTTGCGTCTCCTTTATGCTATCTAAACAGTTTTCTATTCTTTCTTACGACATAATTCTTTGTGAAACGTTTTAACTTAAGTCAGTGTGTAGGGCGGACATAGACCTTTTGTGGCCCATACTCGCTTGAAAAAACAACGTGAAACGAAAACGCGTGACAGAAAATATAACCTACAAAAGGAATCATGTCAATTTTATAAAACGCATGTTATTATCTTGATGAGTGTTGCGTTAAACACAAAATATTAAAAACAAATATCACGATGATAGAATTAAATAATTTATTGGTAAACATCGGAAAAGTTGTATCAAAGACAAGAATTAATATGGTCAGACAAACAGAGTCAAAAAATCTTTTTTTGTGAGATGCACAACAGCTTTTAACACCATCTCAGTACTTGCTGCCTATAATGTCATTTGCACAAATATGAGGTACTTCACTGCAGATACGCCAGTATAATTTTTTTTCTTTATTGGAAGGCTGGATATTACTGACACACAGGAAGCTAACATTCTTCAAGTCAAACGTTTTAACAGAAGTTAAATAAAACGTTTTAAAAGACATAAAAAGTATATTGAGTAAAAAGCCCAAAACAATGTCGAAATAAATGAATACACAATGCCAAATTAGACAATGCTGAATGTCCACAGTTTATACCAATGATATAACCCTGTGAAGCTAATACACAGCAAATATAGACACGCTGAAGGTTGTAAGTCTACAAATATTTCTACACTCGTAAATGTAAAATAAAGCATGGTTAAAAACGAGAATCCTTTCCAAGTGTCTTATGACAATATCAGAAACGATTCAAGACTGTGAGCCCTGCCGAGGAGCTTTAAAATATTATCAACATAATGTTTGCCATCCAAGATGCTGTTTCTGTTTAGATTCTGTTCATCATCCAAGAACATTCTTTGAACTGTATATATACTGTACCCAGTCACAACCATAGTCTTCTGTATAAACTGTGCTGCTAGCCAGCTGGCAGATTAGTGATATTGTTACCTAGCAACGTCACAGGAACCCATTATACCTCATCACCTACAAATCCAATCATTTCTGGAAAACAATAGCAGCTGGAAGGGTTCTTGTACAGATACAAAATGTGTCACCTTCAAATTACAAGGAGTTGAAACTTTGACATTTTGTACCTGTAAACAACACTGGGGCCCAAGCCTATCCAGGGATAATTTATGTGTATGACCTAAAAACATGGCTTATATTACATTAGAAACACCCCCATTAAGATAAAACAACAAAGTGGGTGGTGGGGTAGCCTAGTGGTTAAAGCGTTGGCTCGTCACACCGGGTTCGATTCCCCACATGGGTACAATTTGTGAAGCCCATTTCTGGTGTCCCCTGCTGTGATACTGCTGGAATATTGCTAAGTAAGTCAGTAAGTAAACAACAAAGTACCAGATGATTTGATCTAAGCTGTTGTAGTTGTAGTTGTAGCAGCAGTAGTGGCAGGGACAGTGGGGTAGAATTGGTTGTGGAGCTACAGTACAGGTGCCGGTAGTTGTAGCAGTATTGGAGGTCGAATTAATTGCTGTTGTAGTTGTGGTGGAGATGGTCAATGTCTGCATATTTGCAACTAGCATTATAGCATGATATCACTCCAGTAGGCTGGCTATACTGACTGAGTTTGGTTTTACGCCGCTTTTAGCAATATTCCAGCAACATCACGGCAGGGGACACCAGAAATGGGCTTCACACATTGTACCCATGTGGGGATTCGAACCCGGGTCTTCGGCGTGATGAGCCAACGCTTTAACCATTAGGCTACCCCACCACCCCAGGCTGGCTATATATATAGCATATCACTCCAGTAGGCTGGCTATATATATAGCATGATATCACTCCAGTAGGCTGGCTATATATAGCATATCACTCCAGTAGGCTGGCAATATATATAGCATGATATAACTCCAGTAGGCTGGCTATATATATAGCATGATATCACTCCAGTAGGCTGGCTATCGGTACAGACCACTGAAATCATTAACTTAATATTGATCAATTATCAGTAAATATCGGAGACATAACTTTGAGAAAAAATGCCAAGCAAGTGTGAAAGACATGAATATATTTTACATCAACAACAAGGAGAGTTCTATGGATATACAACTGCTTTAATATTAATATGTTCTTGACTTGTGGGGGGTGGTTTGATGAGTGCTGAAGGTACTGATCAGTATGGGTGGGTTTTCGGTACACACTTGTCTGGAGCTTGTTTTTCTTCTATTATTCTCCTGTCTGTCATATCACTGGCTTCCTCCTAATAATGCCCCATAGCTCATTCTGTTTGTACAACAATTGCCTTCTTGTGTAAACTTCTCCAACGTTGTACATCAACCTAATTAACTGTGTAAACATCAATCACTTACTGTACAACTTCACCATGTATATATAACCTTGCCTTCATTATTGTACATCACTTGCTTGATAACGGTGTTAGTACCTACACTGAAACGGCGCTCATATTATATTAAAGAAGTTGAGTATCAATAGAACTCTCCTCGTTGTTCATCACACCAACTTCTAAATGCCACTTAAAGAAGTCATATTTCACATCACTGGTGAGAGGTTACATGTTTTTGCATGGATTATTAACAAAACAGCATCCTGAACATAATTTAGAAGCAGACCATTAATATCAACCCAACTTTGTACATTGTCTGAGAAAATTAAAACTTTTTTCTGTCACAAATCTTAATGTAAGATATTAGCAATAACATAAATTTCATATCAATAATGATTAATAGTTTTTCCTATCAATGATATTTTATCGATCCTTTTAGCCAGCCCTCCACTCAAGCAGGCATGAAGTGAGAGGTAAACAGGTGAACAATAGCTCTTCCAACAAGCATGGCAATGAGGCGATCTCTTCATGAGAGAGGCCGCGATTTAGTACCAAGTACAGGTTCCCAACTCACTGCATAATGTGACCATATTCTGTATAGCATGGCTCTGGAGGATACACAACATACGACTTGAGTCATACTGGAGAATCTTAAGTTTGGACTGAAATGCAGGCAGAAGTCCTTCTGTAAGTGAACACAATTCCATTAAGTACATTATATAAAGAATAATATACCACAAAAACCAGTAAATGAAATCTGTTTATATGTAAGTCTGAATATTTTGGTGTGTGGACTTGCATATTATAATAATTGGATATCACAGCCTTACACTTCACATCTACATTTGATATCACAGTCTAGATTTTACACAGTGTGTATATATATATATATATATATAAGAAGAAGTTTCTGAAATAATTACACAACACGGATCTTCTCCATCATGTTTCACTTTTATCTTCAGGGAGATCTCCTGAAGATAAAAGTGAAACATGTTGGAGAAGATCCGTGTTGTGTAATTATTTCAGAAACTTCTTCTTATATATGTACTACTGTACGCTCGGTATTCTCATCACTTTCTTTATATATATATATATATATATATATATTTGGGGATGAAACTTATGGTTGTTTTAGACTGTTTAATTCCATGTACAAAGTTGAGACAGTTGCAGACAATCGATATATTTCATATTTACAATGTTCAGAAATAAAGTAAGTCAGATCTGTGATTGTTACAGACCATGTACAGCGTCATGACATCATATAGAAGGGAGCATTATCTGTGACTCGAGTTACATGGGACAGTACAGTGTAAATTAAGTCTTAGTTCCAACCTGAATATATTTACCACAATAATAGTGTGGACATGTGCTCTAAGTGCTACATTATTTCACCCATTAATGGATCAGTGTGTAGTTGATTTCATTCTGAGCTCCCTGGGAAGTATTCCACCCAAGAAGGTTGACTGTCATATGACCATCTGATCCTGTCGGGTACCCAGTCACTGCTTGGTGAACAAAGGCACATTTCTAACAGTCACTTGATGAAGGAGACACCACACCTCAGGCTAAGGTAGGACAGATGCCTTGAAACTCGAAGGAGTCAGCCTGTACAAACACTATACATTATATATCAAAGCTTACAGTGCTACTTTGGTCCTCTCAAGCAGATCTGTATCTTCAGACTTATACTTATCTGGTCCCGGGTTAGAACTGGTCTTCAGTAACCCATGCTTGTCGTAAAAGGCGACTATGCTTGGCGTAAGAGGCGACTAACGGGATCGGGTGGTCAGGCTCGCTGACTTGGTTGACACATGCGCAGATCGATGCTCATGCTGTTCATCACTGGATTGTCTGGTCCAGACTCGATTATTTACAGACTGCCGCCATATAGCTGGAATATTGCTGAGTGCGGCGTAAAACTAAACTCACTCACTCACTCACTATACTTATGTACACATTATCTCCTTTTCATAGTTGGTACTGTTACATAGTCTACCAGTACATATTTTTTCCAGGTATACCTATTTAAATGTAAAAAACTTATTTTGGCATGACATCATAAAACATTCCCCTCATCCTGAACTCTCAACCATCTGTAGGTCTTATTGTCAGTGTAAATTACTTCACAACATTTGCAACAGTTTCCAATTGTCAGCTGTATCATGTACATGTAAATATCCCTTCACAAGACAAATCTTTCTCACCTTTCAGGCACATTGTAGATGCTTAGGTTTCTGTGAAGACACGTTTGAGACTTAAGGAGTTGAAAACAATCAACAAGGGAATAAAAGTATTCTCCCTTTGATGAGTGAATGAAATGAGGAAATTCACCATTGTTCTGTGAATTCAAGTTTGGTCCCTTTAAGGATGAGAAAAAACTCCCATTGGTGTCATTTTATGGAATCAAAACACAAAGTGGCCTTACTTTAGGAAGGAAAAAGAATAACCTTGACTTTCATGAATGAGTCAACTTTACAACTGCTTCTTTGGTGTTTGAATTAGAATTTGTTTTCATGAATAAATAGGAATAGCCTTAGTTTGTAGAATGAACCAGAATGATGCTGTGTTACAGACTAAGAAAACAATTTTTATCTTTCCCAAATACATCAGACTGACCTCCTTTTAATGGATGAAACAGAGTTCAAGTCTTGCTAGATCAATAAGAGTTAGCTCCCTTTCATGAATAAATCAGAGTGACCTCCCCAACTTGAAAGACAGAGTGATGTTCCTTTTATCTTTTCTCAATTCTCAGCATCATTCCATCCAGAGGCTTTGGTTCAAAGGCATTTGTCTCTGGAGGTATCTGGAAGAGACAGACAAACCTTGAATTACAACCCTGTCAACAGTTTCCCTTCAGAGCAGCATCAAGTCACCGTACTGCACCGACAGTCATGAATGTTTGATGCATCTCTTCTGAGAGATTTGCTTCATTTGTCATCACTGAAGTACTACCCCACAAAACAAGCTGAGTTGGCATTAATCATGCCAATGGAGCAGAGATAAATGATTCTCGGGATGAGATTCAATGAACCTATTTTCCTAAGGCCAGACACCTTCTTCCCAAAGGCCAGACAACTTCTCCCCCAAGGCCAGACACCCTCCCACAAGGTCAGACACCTTCTTACATGAGGCCAGACACCCTCTCCAACAAGATTAGACATCATCTCCACAAATGTCAGATAACTTCTCCCCCAAGGCCAGACACCTCCCCAAAGGCCAGACACCCTCTCCATCAAGATCAGACATCATCTCCACCAATGTCAGATACCTTCTCCCCCAAGGCCAGACACCTCCCCCAAAGGGCCAGACACCCTCTCCAACAAGATCAGACATCATCTCCACCAATGTCAGATACCTTCTCCCCCAAGGCCAGACACCTCCCCAAAGGCCAGACACCCTCTCCAACAAGATCAGACATCATCTCCACCAATGTCAGATACCTTCTCCCCCAAGGCCAGACACCTCCCCAAAGGCCAGACACCCTCTCCAACAAGATCAGACATCATCTCCACCAATGTCAGATACCTTCTCCTCCAAGGCCAGACACCTCCCTCCAGACAAAAGGCCAGACACCCTCTCCAACAAGATCAGACATCATCTCCACCAATGATCACCAATGTCAGATACCTTCTCCTCCAAGGCCAGACACCTCTCCCAAAGGCCAGACACCAGACTCTCCAACAAGATCAGACCCCCAAAGGACACCCTCTCCAACAAGATCAGACATCATCTCCACCAATGTCAGATACCTTCTCCCCCAAGGCCAGACACCTCCCCCAAGGCCAGACACCCTCTCCAACAAGATCAGACATCATCTCCACCAATGTCTTATACCTTCTCCTCCAAGGCCAGACACCTCCCCCACGGCCAGACACCCTCTTCCCCTTGGGTCAGACATCAAGGTTAGATACTTTCTGTCCATGATCAGACACCTTGTCCTCATAAACAAATATTTTCAGATGACAATGAATCTCAGTCAGCAATCAATCATTCTGAACTGGAAACACTTCACACCCATGTCAGATCAGTACGAATGTAAATATCGTTTCAAGTCTGGTTTTAATAGAGCCTCTACCTTTGTTTCTGGACCGGTGACAAAACGATACTTCTGAAGAATTCCTGCTATGGCTGTCTTGACAGTGAGGTGGGCAAACCTCATCCCAATGCAGTTTCTTGGACCCGCCCCGAACGGAATGAACACATAGTTGTAATTGTCTGGGCGGTTCTCTGGACGGAACCTATAAATGATATAATAATGATAATCACAATGGGGTAGTAGCAGCATGAATATCTGCTGCAGTAGCAGTAGAACCACTAGCAGCAGCTGAAATGGTTGTGGTAGTTGTAGTTGTGTCAGACGTGATACCAACATTAAACAATGATGTCCACCTCCCTGGTACCCATAACATTGGATTTTTGTATGCCAAGGATCGAATCTTGGTCATAACTCTGATTTAAACCATCATCAGTATATCCTGGTGTTTACAAGGGGCACAACTCTTCAGACTGGGTTATCATACATTTGACCACTGGCAACTGACAACAATGATAAACTATTTTACCTCTCTGGGTTGTAGGTCTCCGGATCAGGCCAGTATTCAGGGTCTTTGTGTATGGCGCCAACAGGAAAGTGAACTTCAATTCCCTTTTTGATAAGGATGCCATTAATCGTGATGTCCTCTTCTGCCATTCTGGATATTCTACAATGGTCAAGTGTACAAGATAAGTCAAATGAAACACATTTACTGCATCAATGCTACCATGAACAGTTACATCAAAATCGTGACATCATGTTTGGGTACTTGTTATCATTCGAGAAACGTGGAGTGTGTACAATAGAATAATAGAAACATTAAGTATGTGTTTTTTTGAAAATATGAAAAATAGTAAAATCTAAATATTTTTCATATGTGTATACTTATCCAGCACAACTTACTTCCTGCACTTATTGCTTAAGAGTCCCGTGCAGATCCGAGTTAAAATTGATCTTCAGCAATATTCCAGCCATGTGGCGGGGTCCGAGTTTGGACCAGACAATTCTCTGATCAACAGCATGAGCATTGATATGTGGAATTAGGTTACAATGACATGTGTCAACAAAGTCAGCGAGCCTGACCATCCGAACCCGTCAGTCACCTCATAGGACAAGCATGGGTTACTGAAGATCAATTCATTGGTACACACACACAGATAGATGCTGTGGGAGTAAGTATGCTCCAAATGACCTAGAGTGACATCCCTGGTGGGTACCACAACACATTTGGGAAATAATATTTTAGCGTAGTGGTGTACATCTTTGTCAATCATCATGATAATCTGGGCAAAGATACAATCTTGATATTACATTTTGGAACGATACATATTTATATAAACATGAAGCTATTTGAGGAATACATTGCTTTCAGGATGAGTGAGAGAGAGTTTGGATATGAATGATATATTCCTCTCAGTAACTGGTTACCATAATGTTTGGAAAAAGCCTGTGAATATCCACATAATATTAATGGCTAATTATAAACCGCTTGTTTTATCAAGACGCTAACACATTATTACCCTGGTTAGTGTCTGTCATATGATTATCCCACCGGGTACCCTTTCACTGCTGGGTGAACAGAGGCAAGTCATGAACAAACTCACTTGGATAGAAACTCTCAGGAGTCAAGCTGCCAAACAGTCACCCATCCAAGGACTCACCGTGGCCAGCGTACTTAACTTCAATTCATTTGTACCCAGGGTGCTGTTTTACAAAACAACCTTAACGCTAAGACAGCTTAAGTCTATGTTAAGGTATGGGAGATATGGTTACCTTAGCGCTAGGACCAGCTTAAGTCTATGTTAAGGTATGGGAGATATGGTTACCTTAGCTCTAAGACAGCTTAAGTCAATGTTAAGGTATGGGAGATATGGTTACCTTAGCGCTAAGACCAGCTTAAGTCTATGTTAAGGTATGGGAGATATGGTAACCTTAGCGCTAAGACCAGCTTAAGTCTATGTTAAGGTATGGGAGATATGGTTACCTTAGCGCTAAGACCAGCTTAAGTCTATGTTAAGGTATGGGAGATATGGTTACCTTAGCGCTAAGACCAGCTTAAGTCTATGTTAAGGTATGGGAGATATGGTTACCTTTTAGGAGGACCAGCTAAGTCTATGTTAAGGTATGGGAGATATGGTTACCTTAGCTAAGACCAGCTTAAGTCTATGTTAAGGTATGGGAGATATGGTTACCTTAGCCAAAGACCAGCTTGGAGTCTATGTTAAGGTATGGGAGATATGGTTACCTTAGCTAGGACCAGCTTAAGTCTATGTTAAGGTATGGGAGATATGGTTACCTTAGCTTAGGACCAGCTTAAGTCTATGTTAAGGTATGGGAGATATGGTTACCTTAAGCTAAGACCAGCTTAAGTCTATGTTAAGGTATGGGAGATATGGTTACCTTTTAGCTAGGACCAGCTTAAGACCATGTTATGTTAAGGTATGGGAGATATGGTTACCTTAGCGCTAAGACCAGCTTAAGTCTATGTTAAGGTATGGGAGATATGGTTACCTTAGCGCTAAGACCAGCTTAAGTCTATGTTAAGGTATGGGAGATATGGTTACCTTAGCGCTAAGACCAGCTTAAGTCTATGTTAAGGTATGGGAGATATGGTTACCTTAGCGCTAAGACCAGCTTAAGTCTATGTTAAGGTATGGGAGATATGGTTACCTTAGCTCTAGGACCAGCTTAAGTCTATGTTAAGGTATGGGAGATATGGTTACCTTAAGCTAAGACCAGCTTAAGTCTATGTTAAGGTATGGGAGATATGGTTACCTTAAGTCTATGTTAAGGTATGCATCTTTAGCGCTAAGACCAGCTTAAGTCTATGTTAAGGTATGGGAGATATGGTTACCTTAGCGCTAAGACCAGCTTAAGTCTATGTTAAGGTATGGGAGATATGGTTACCTTAGCGCTAAGACCAGCTTAAGTCTATGTTAAGGTATGGGAGATATGGTTACGTTAGCGCTAAGACCAGCTTAGGTCAATGTTAAGGTATGGGAGATATGGTTACCTTAGCTCTAGGACCAGCTTAAGTCTATGTTAAGGTATGGGAGATATGGTTACCTTAGCACTAGGACCAGCTTAAGTCTATGTTAAGGTATGGGAGATATGGTTACCTTAGCACTAGGACCAGCTTAAGTCTATGTTAAGGTATGGGAGATATGGTTACCTTAGCGCTAAGACCAGCTTAAGTCTATGTTAAGGTATGGGAGATATGGTTACCTTAGCCCTAAGACCAGCTTAAGTCTATGTTAAGGTATGGGAGATATGGTTACCTTAGCGCCAAGACCAGCTTAAGTCTATGTTAAGGTATGGGAGATATGGTTACCTTAGCGCTAAGACCAGCTTAAGTCTATGTTAAGGTATGGGAGATATGGTTACCTTAGCGCTAAGACCAGCTTAAGTCTATGTTAAGGTATGGGAGATATGGTTACCTTAGCTCTAAGATCGCTTTGTACAACATCCTAGGCTCTATGTACAGAACCACCCACCACCACCACGGTTATTGTTCTGTCATTCAACATAGTGTACATGTTCTGATGGAGGGCACAGTGTTTCACATTTAAACAGGAGCTTCAGTGACCAGAGATTAAGGTAGATACCTTGTAGTTGCTGGGAAGAGACGTAAAGTTTCCAGGTAGGCACAGTCCAGGTATTCTAACCTTGGCATGGTCTCGTAACTTGGCGGTTGCTGTAAAATTTAGATTCAAATGTTAAAATATAAAGTATATACTTGGAATGTCTTTTGAACATTACATCAGAATTCTGTGAGAACATCTAAGAGCCTTTTTGTTTCAGTTCCACAAGACTTTCAGTTTCAGTGAAATTACAGCAATATCAGAAGTACATGAAATTCAAACCTGTGTGTTGCTTGGCAATATTTAGTGTGTGCCGAGTAACACCAACATTGAGTTTCATGTACTTATTTATTACTTAATGTCAACTGACCCACAAGGCATAGAAAACTGAAATCTTTTGTATGAAAGAATTCTGTTCTAATGTTTATGGTAGCCATGACATCTGCATTGAAATTGTCATTTTACCAGTTGCACCATCACTTCAGCATTTATCAGTTTGGTCATGACTAATTGGGTTGGTCAAAGAACACAGACTTCAGCTGGAAAACAGAATGATTAAAGTATTGTCGGTAATGCTAGAAAAATGCTTTTTGACTTATATTTAAAATTCAGAGGTATTACAGTTACTTAAATAACAAATATCACTTCAAGAAACATCTACCTAATGTAGACCGAGGGAATAAATTTTGAGACATGCTCTAAAATGTGTTTTTACTGATGAAAATACCAAAAACTTAGAAAAATAAGGGGTAGTGGGACGTTATTTGATACAAACATTAACTGCCTGTGTCACGTCATCAGCATGCACGGTATCGACAGGTGAAATTGACACCTGAGCACACGCTCGGGCAAGGGGTCATCTCAATAGATGTTTTCTGCAAAATGTTGAATATGTGTACGTATAGTATACGTATCAGTTAAGTAAGGGATCTTTTGTGTATGTGTGTTTGTTTTGAAATAAACATACGAATTACTGTACATTGGAAAGAATCCTACCACTTGTGTTATCTTATCGATTGATTGTAGAAATGTGCAACGTTTTAATAAATGTTTTGCATGTCAACAGTATATTTCAATGAAAAAATATGGATGTAATTTGGTCAGTTTAATCTAGTTGTGAACATTGGCCAAAGATTTAACGAAGTCACTGGTGTAGCTTCTTTAGAATATATATATATTTTTCTTCTCATAAAGTTTGTAGACCACCTGTCTAAGCACTCCCTTGTCAAAGTTGTCAAGGATGGTTTTATGTCCCGGTTTTGCATTTGAGACGGTCCCTGTCTTGTCTGATTTGTTTACAATATTGTAAACTTGTTGGTAAGACATGTCAACAGCTCTACAGGTTCTGTAATTAACCCTTTCTAAACTAATGAAAGGTTTACCTCTGTCTTTTTTAAGCAGAAAAAACCTATAAACCTTTGCAACAATCGACTGCAAATCGTTGGCCACAGTGGACGCTGTGATAAAGATGTGCATGCATGACGGGAAACTTAATTATCAAGACTTAGCATTTATATTAATATTTCTTCAATAAAGAAAACGATAATTAAGTAAAGTAACGCAAACATTCAACATTTATTTGTTTAGGAAAAACGTTAATTCATATTTTTACACCACCTGTATTATTAGCATAAGTGTAAAGACTATTTCAGATTTCTATTGTCTATAAGTTGCTGTTTTGGTACCAAATTCTCTCCTGTAAACTGCCCTTTAAATGCATGGGAATGTTAAATCGATTGAAATAAAAATTAGGTAGACAATAGGCGAGTTGACATATTGACAACATAGTACATTTATCACCTTTATAAAGATATTAAGGCTAAAAAGCATTTTTCTAGCATTTCCGACAGTACTTTAAGGCCTGGCTTGGAGTAGTGACTACACAGAGAGTGCTCATCATGAAGTATAATTAAAGTAAAACAGAATGATCTTATTAGCCCCAGAATAATTCTGCTATAATCGTGTCCCAAACCATCAACACTAAGACTCAAGCATAATATATATGTACCTGTTTCTGGCTCTGGTGCAACAAGACTATTACCTTAGGTTCCATGGGTACAAGTAAGTTTCACATCCTTAACTCAAGCCCAGCATTAAAAGTAAATAAATGGTTCACTGAGATCAGGGACCGAAATCCTGCAGTTTAGAATCCTGCACATAAGAGAGAGTACTATCACCAAAATGCATACGCAAACAAAATCATTAGTTACCCCATTGAGAACTCTGTCGATCTCTTCTATGAGTTTGTCTTGACAGTCCTGATTGGTCGCTAGGTTGTAGGCGAAATATGCCAGAGTCAGGTTTGTAGTTTCATAGCCAGCAAATAGAAACAGGACTGCATTGGCCAGAATCTCATCGTTTGTCATCCCTAAAGAACAGAAATATTGCAAGATCATCGTACATTATTATGTTGAATCCAACAAGGGTCTGAATGAGACTGTAAACATGATAGAGAAGGTAAAACAACCCAATAATCATCAGAAGATGACAAATCCCCTGGCCCTCATCATCTGACAGTTACTTGAAGTCCAACTTTATTCTTTTAGACCAAATCGTTTCCATGGAAACTATTTGCCAAAAATCTGCAAATAGCAAAAGACACCACTTTGGGATCTCTTTGATATATCTGTTATGTTTTGTTAATAGATACTGAATGTTTTTTGTGCTATGCTCCGGAATCGAAATCCTCGCCATTTTTTAGACTAAGTCCAAATTGTCTCCATGAAAATCCAGAAAAGTAAATTTGCCTAAAATCTGTAAATAGCACAAAGCACCACTTTAGGTTGTATTTCATATAGCTACCAATTTTTGTTGAAAAGTATTGAACGATATTTTAGTTATGCCTGGAAACAAAAATATGACAGACAGACGGATGAGGTGTTGAGTATGATGAAACATGGAGAAGATAAAACAACCTGACGGGGGTGAAACATGGAGGTTAATCCAGATGGCGAAGGTAAAACCTTAAGGAAAATTTGAAACCCAAAGGAGAGCCCAGGAGGAGAGTTTTATCTAACTTCTAAACCTGGTCCAAGAAACATGCTGAAAGCTACAGTGAGATCTGGATACATAATGCTGAAACAACAACATGTATTCAAGGACCTAGAGACTCGTGAAGGTCCGGGTTAGAATATTGATCTTCAGTAACCCATGCTTGTCATAAGAGGCGACTAACGGGATCGGGTGGTCAGACTCGCTGACTTGGTTGACACATGTCATCGGTTCCCAATTGTGCAGATCGATGATCACACTGTTGATCACTGGATTGTCTGGGCCAGACTCGATTATTTACAGACCGCCGCCATATAGCTGGAATATTGCTGAGTGCGGCCTAAAACAAAACTCACTCAATCACTCAAGGACCTTGATGATCAGCCTTGGGACAACCTTGGGCTAAATACTCATGCATCGATGTCAGGTGTTGAGGCTTGTTATATGAGGATTTTATTTGAGGCTTCAAAGTTTCCAAGTAGTACAGGACAAACATCTGACAATTTTCACTTACTAGTCACCATGGATAGATCATCTGAAAGCCTTCAGTATATATTCTGCAGGCACCAAGGGCAGTTCATCCGAAAACCTCCAGTATATATTCTGTAGGCACCAAGGACAGATCATCTGAAAGCCTTCAATAGCTTCCCACCTACTCAAGACCACCAGAACTTCCTCTCAACCACATAGCTCACCTCTCCTCAATGACTTGTCCAGGTCCACGTAGGAGTCGGAGTCTTTCTCCTCCTGAGCCACCTCAAGCTTGTGGGAGTTGAGCATCAGTTGCAGGAAGTCACGCCGACTCTGGTGGAGAGTCAGTGAGTGAGGGAGTGAGTGTGATATGGGAGTGAGTGTGATATGGAAGAGAGTGGGTGAGTTATACAGAAAACAATAAGTGGGTTAAGTGTACCTGAGTTTAATGTGACTTTCTCCTGTGAAAATCGAAAAATTTTCAATGTTATGGTCACAGCCGTACAGTTGGACTATTGCTGAGTGCAGTGTTAAACAAAACAGCAAACCAAATCAATGTTATGGTAAATTTCAACATCTCTTAACAAATCAGTAGCTCGAGGATTTAGTTAGTCATCAAAGTCTTACAATGTTACGATCTCTTCTGTCTGAAATAGTCTGGAGCACAGCCTTTGTGAAGAATTGTCGACAACCATCATCAACCATTTTGAAACCAACAGCTTCCAACCATTTGCTTAGGAAGGGAAACAAGGCTGCAACAAGAAAGGTTTTCTTACCACAGCAGCAGAACAATGTGTGTAGGCTTCACAGGTCGGTCCCGTGGACTTATTCTATTATTCTTCAACATATTAAATTTGTAATAAAAAACGGTGACCAGAGTCAACAGAAGGTGACATACATCCATGGCCCCTCGGTGGGGGCAAAGAAAAAAAGCAAACAGAATTTAATAATAACAGACTGCAGGAAGAAAGATAAACACTATTTGTTCCAGACATAATTTTGGATCAGATTATTTGGATATATCTCACGAAAACAGGCACTCCCTTTCCTCAAGAAGGGAGGTTGTTGAGAAATGAAACTTACTGCAAAAGATGAAAAGGGCATATGTTTTAATTCCGTTTTGTGTCATCTTCCGAACGTTGAGTATAAAAGCATTTTCAGGGTCTGCCTGACAGTCAGCTTCAATACCAAACGCGGTGGAGGCGATGACATCCAGGGAATACAGTCCAAACATGCTGGAAGAAAACACAGTCACATGTAATACTCTAAGGATGGTGTACAAATAGCTTTGTCAACATCTTTGTAGTCATTTCTTTAAATATTAATCCAAACTGCAGTTTGTGAGTGAGTGAGTGAGTGAGTGAGTGAGTGAGTGAGTGAGTGAGTGAGTGAGTGAGTGAGTGAGTGAGTGAGTGAGATATTCAAGCTACACCGATATATTAATAATGGAGCATGATCACAAGATGTCAGAAATCATCCTAAAAGCCTACACTGCTGTTGCTCAGCATTTATTCCAAACATGATCAATTATCCACATATCTGCTGATCATCCCACACCAATGTTACTGAGGCCTTGCATGGAGTATGAACAATGATCTACAATATGAGGGCAAGATGTTTGGATCTACTCAGTGCTGCTCAACCAATACTGTTCTGTTTACTTACTCTTTCATTTTGATTGTTTTTGTGCCTCCTTCTGTAGTTTTCCAGAGGTTCGTCACCAGAGATTCCATGCACTTCTGCATCAGCGGTATCATCTGTCAACATATATTCCTCCATTCAGTCCGCTCTCCATTTAATCATTCCAGTCCAGTTCCTTCTAAAATACGTTCTTTGTGTAAATTATGAAAAAACATATTTCTCATGGGCTAGGATCCAGGGCAGGTATCCAGGTTGAAGATACTGGGCAGGTATCCAGGTTGAAGATACAGGGCAGGTATCCAGGTTGAAGATACAGGGCAGGGGTCCAGGTTGAAGATACAGGGCAGGGGTCCAGGTTGAAGATACAGGGCAGGGGTCCAGGGCAAGGATCAAGATCAAGGATACAGGGCAGGGATCCAGGGCAAGGATCAAGATCAAGGATACAGGGCAGGGATCCAGGGCAAGGATCAAGATCAAGGATACAGGGCAGGGGTCCAGGGCAAGGATACAGATCAAGGATACAGGGCAGGGATCCAGGGCAAGGATCTACACACCATGAGGTCATGACATCAATGTATAACACAGATGATGAGGGCATGCAACACCTTCTTACCTCCTTCATCCTGCCTCCTGTGAATGTGGGACTCAGGATTCCTCGGATGAACTTCCAGTGATCATCAACCAAGAAAATAAGGGAATTCAGAAACAGTGGATCTCGTGGAAAGTTGGTGTTGCTCTGAAAGTATGTCACTCGTTATATTCACATATTCTCTGCATATTAAATACTGACAATTCCAAATGTATATATATATATGCATCAGTATCAAGAAAAACAAAGAATGCACAGTATTTTGTTACAGTTGAATGAGATTGGAGCAATACAAAACAGCATCAAATAAAGGGCTTTGCATCTGTATTTCCATGTCCTTAGTACTTGTTTTGTAGGAAAGGGGTAGAGGGGGCACCTGCAATACACTCTGAGAGAGATTACACTGTCAGATCCCAAGGCTAACCTAAGAGATGGGGACGAGACCTTGCAAAACACCAGCCCAGAGTGGAGGGTTGAGAGTTGGAATACACTGTCAGTTCCCAGGGCTTGTGTAGGTGGAGGGGCAGGGGACCTTGTACAACACCAGGTTAAAGTAGAGGGTTCAGAGTTGGAATACACTGTCAGTTCCCAGGGATTGTGTAGGTGGAGGGTCAGGGGACCTTGTACAACACCAGGTTAAAGTAGAGGGTTCAGAGTTGGAATACACTGTCAGTTCCCAGGGCTTGTGTAGGTGGAGGAGCAGGGGACCTTGTACAACACCAGGTTAAAGTAGAGGGTTCAGAGTTGGAATACACTGTCAGTTCCCAGGGATTGTGTAGGTGGAGGGTCAGGGGACCTTGTACAACACCAGGTTAAAGTAGAGGGTTCAGAGTTGGAATACACTGTCAGTTCCCAGGGATTGTGTAGGTGGAGGACAGGGGACCTTGTACAACACCAGGTTAAAGTAGAGGGTTCAGAGTTGGAATACACTGTCAGTTCCCAGGGCTTGTGTAGGTGGAGGACAGGAGACCTTGAACAACACCAGGTTAAAGTAGAGGGTTCAGAGTTGGAATACACTGTCAGTTCCCAGGGCTTGTGTAGGTGGAGGGGCAGGGGACCTTGTACAACACCAGGTTAAAGTAGAGGGTTCAGAGTTGGAATACACTGTCAGTTCCCAAGGCTTGTGTAGGTGGAGGACAGGACACCTTGTACAACACCAGGTTAAAGTACAGGGTTCAGAGTTGGAATACACTGTCAGTTCCCAGGGCTTGTGTAGGTGGAGGACAGGAGACCTTGTACAACACCAGGTTAAAGTAGAGGGTTCAGAGTTGGAATACACTGTCAGTTCCCAGGGATTGTGTAGGTGGAGGACAGGGGACCTTGTACAACACCAGGTTAAAGTAGAGGGTTCAGAGTTGGAATACACTGTCAGTTCCCAAAGGCTTGTGTAGGTGGAGGACAGGAGACCTTGTACAACACCAGGTTAAAGTAGAGGGTTCAGAGTTGGAATACACTGTCAGTTCCCAGGGATTGTGTAGGTGTAGGGGCAGGGGACCTTGTACAACACAAGGTTAAAGTAGAGGGTTCAGAGTTGGAATACACTGTCAGTTCCCAGGGCTTGTGTAGGTGGAGGACAGGGGACCTTGTACAACACCAGGTTAAAGTAGAGGGTTCAGAGTTGGATTACACTGTCAGTTCCCAGGGATTGTGTAGGTGGAGGGGCAGGGGACCTTGTACAACACCAGGTTAAAGTAGAGGGTTCAGAGTTGGAACACACTGTCAGTTCCCAGGGCTTGTGTAGGTGGAGGGCAGGAGACCTTGTACAACACCAGGTTAAAGAAGAGGGTTCAGAGTTGGAATACACTGTCAGTTCCCAGGGCTTGTGTAGGTGGAGGACAGGAGACCTTGTACAACACCAGGTTAAAGTAGAGGGTTCAGAGTTGGAATACACTGTCAGTTCCCAGGGCTTGTGTAGGTGGAGGGCAGGGGACCTTGTACAACACCAGGTTAAAGTAGAGGGTTCAGAGGTGGAATACACTGTCAGTTCCCAAGGCTTGTGTAGGTGGAGGACAGGAGACCTTGTACAACACCAGGTTAAAGTAGAGGGTTCAGAGTTGGAATACACTGTCAGTTCCCAGGGCTTGTGTAGGTGGAGGACAGGAGACCTTGTACAACACCAGGTTAAAGTAGAGGGTTCAGAGTTGGAATACACTGTCAGTTCCCAGGGATTGTGTAGGTGGAAGACAGGAGACCTTGTACAACTCCAGGTTAAAGTAGAGGGTTCAGAGTTGGAATACACTGTCAGTTCCCAAGGCTTGTGTAGGTGGAGGACAGGAGACCTTGTACAACACCAGGTTTAAGTAGAGGGTTCAGAGTTGGAATACACTGTCAGTTCCCAGGGATTGTGTAGGTGGAGGACAGGGGACCTTGTACAACACCAGGTTAAAGTAGAGGGTTCAGAGTTGGAATACACTGTCAGTTCCCAGGGATTGTGTAGGTGGAAGGGCAGGGGACCTTGTACAACACCAGGTTAAAGTAGAGGGTTCAAGAGTTGGAATACACTGTCAGTTCCCAGGGCTTGTGTAGGTGGAGGACAGGAGACCTTGTACAACACCAGGTTAAAGTAGAGGGTTCAGAGTTGGAATACACTGTCAGTTCCCAGGATTGTGTAGGTGGGAGGACAGGGGACCTTGTACAACACTAGGATAAAGTAGAGGGGTTCAGAGTTGGAATACACTGTCAGTTCCTAGGGCTTGTGTAGGTGTAGGGGCAGGGACCTTGTACAACACCAGGATAAAGTAGAGGGTTCAGAGTTGGAATACACTGTCAGTTCCCAGGGCTTGTGTGGAGTGTAGGGGCAGGGGACCTTGTACAACCCAGGATTAAAAGTAGAGGGTTCAGAGTTCGAATACACTGTCAGTTCCCAGGGTTTGTGTAGGTGGAGGGGCAGGAGACCTTGTACAACACCAGGTTAAAGTAGAGGGTTCAGAGTTGGAATACACTGTCAGTTCCCAAGGCTTGTGTAGGTGGAGGACAGGAGACCTTGTACAACACCAGGTTAAAGTAGAGGGTTCAGAGTTGGAATACACTGTCAGTTCCCAGGGCTTGTGTAGGTGGAGGACAGGAGACCTTGTACAACACCAGGTTAAAGTAGAGGGTTCAGAGTTGGAATACACTGTCAATTCCCAGGGATTGTGTAGGTGGAGGACAGGAGACCTTGTACAACTCCAGGTAAAAGTAGAGGGTTCAGAGTTGGAATACACTGTCAGTTCCCAAGGCTTGTGTAGGTGGAGGACAGGAGACCTTGTACAACACCAGGTTAAAGTAGAGGGTTCAGAGTTGGAATACACTGTCAGTTCCCAGGGATTGTGTAGGTGGAGGACAGGGGACCTTGTACAACACCAGGATAAAGTAGAGGGTTCAGAGTTGGAATACACTGTCAGTTCCCAGGGATTGTGTAGGTGTAGGGGCAGGGGACCTTGTACAACACAAGGTTAAAGTAGAGGGTTCAGAGTTGGAATACACTGTCAGTTCCCAGGGCTTGTGTAGGTGGAGGACAGGGGACCTTGTACAACACCAGGTTAAAAGTAAGAGGGTTCAGAGTTGGATTACACTGTCAGTTCCCAGGGCTTGTGTAGGTGGAGAGGGCAGGGACCTTGTACAACACCAGGTTAAAATCAGTAGAGGGTTCAGAGTTGGAACACACTGTCAGTTCCCAGGGGCTTGTGTAGGTGGAGGGCAGGAGACCTTGTACAACACCAGGTTAAAGTAGAGGGGTTCAGGAGTTGGAATACTGTCAGTTCCCAGGGCTTGTGTAGGTGGAGGACAGGAGACCTTGTACAACACCAGGTTAAAGTAGAGGGTTCAGAGTTGGAATACACTGTCAGTTCCCAGGGCTTGTGTAGGTGGAGGGGCAGGAGACCTTGTACAACACCAGGTTAAAGTAGTAGAGTTCAGAGTTGGAATACACTGTCAGTTCCCAAGGCTTGTGTAGGTGGAGGACAGGAGACCTTGTACAACACCAGGTTAAAAGTAGAGGGTTCAGAGTTGGAATACACTGTCAGTTCCCAGGGCTTGTGTAGGTGGAGGACAGGAGACCTTGTACAACACCAGGTTAAAGTAGAGGGTTCAGAGTTGGAATACACTGTCAGTTCCTAGGGATTGTGTGGAGGTGGAAGACAGGAGACCTTGTACAACTCCAGGTTAAAAGTAGAGTGTTCAGAGTTGGAATACACTGTCAGTTCCTAAAGGCTTGTGTAGGTGGAGGACAGGGGACCTTGTACAACACCAGGTTTAAAGTAGAGGGTTCAGAGTTGGAATACACTGTCAGTTCCCAGGGATTGTGTAGGTGGAGGACAGGAGACCTTGTACAACACCAGGTTAAAGTAGAGGGTCAGAGTTGGAATACACTGTCAGTTCCCAGGGCTTGTGTAGGTGGAAGGGCAGGGCCACCTTGTACAACACCAGGTTAAAGTAGAGGGTTCAGAGTTGGAATACACTGTCAGTTCCCAAGGCTTGTGTAGGTGGAGGACAGGAGACCTTGTACAACCTCAGGTTAAAAGTAGAGGTTCAGAGTTGGAATACACTGTCAGTTCCCAGGGCTTGTGTAGGTGGAGGACAGGAGACCTTGTACAACACCAGGTTAAAAGTAGAGGTTCAGAGTTGGAATACACTGTCAGTTCCCAGGGATTGTGTAGGTGGAGGGCAGGGGACCTTGTACAACACCAGGATAAAGTAGAGGGTTCAGAGTTGGAATACACTGTCAGTTCCCAGGGCTTGTGTAGGTGGAAGGGCAGGGGACCTTGTACAACACCAGGTTAAAGTAGAGGGGTTCAGAGTTGGAATACACTGTCAGTTCCCAGGGCTTGTGTAGGTGGGAGGGGCAGGAGACCTTGTACAAACACCAGGTTAAAAGTAGAGGGTTCAGAGTTGGAACACACTGTCAGTTCCCAGGGCTTGTGTAGGTGGAGGGGCAGGGGACCTTGTACAACACCAGGTTAAAGTAGAGGGTTCAGAGTTAGAAATACACTGTCAGTTCCCAAGGCTTGTGTAGGTGGAGGACAGGAGACCTTGTACAACACCAGGTTAAAGTAGAGGGTTCAGAGTTGGAATACACTGTCAGTTCCCAGGGCTTGTGTAGGTGGAGGACAGGAGGACCTTGTACAACACCAGGTTAAAGTAGA